AAAATTTAATCTTTAAAACTAATAATTTTTTTAAAATTAATTAGGACCAATTAGGACCAATTAGGACTTTTACCAACTCTATCTGTATGGGAATGCTTAAGCACATTCGTAATGTCATATGACTTTTCAAAATCTTTGAAAACTGAATATCTGTATAGCCATATAGTTTGTATTTGTACAAATATAAAATGCATGAAGTCCAAAATCACTGCTGACATGAAGTCCTTTAAAGTAAGATGCGAGTTAACAAAGGGAGCAAGGAAGAATATATTTCTAACGAAGCCTTCTATACAGAAAACACAACTATTAATGTCGATGAAAGTTGCGATGCGTCCGAAAACTTTTTGGACAAGAACACTCCTTCGTCTCAGCAAAACGCTTTAAGTGTCATTGACTTGCTCTTCGACAAATATGATTCGTTCATCAGCGCAGTTATTGCGAAACATCAGAGAACCAATCATTTCGTGTTATAAAAATTTTTTTTTGAAGCCAAAACGAACGAAATCACGCATGTATTGTGCTATTACCTAATTTAGACAATCGCACGTTTTTGCCTCTCGACATTGCACCAACATCACCTTTTATACCTGCAAAGTCAATCAAAGTGACCGAAATACCCCTTGATTCTAATGAACATAGGGTCAAAACTATTTTTAGAAAATTCGGCAAAATCGTCCGCTTTAATATGAAAACAAAAAACATGTGACAACAAGCTATGATTACCTTTGCAGAAAATGCTAATTTCAAGGAACTCAAGAACTGTAATGGAGTTTTTTATTTTAAACGACATGGTCAGAATGCATATGTGTAACCTTTCCTGTGTAGCAATTTTAAATAAGTCCAAATTCTTGGCTAAACTAGCTGATTTTCCTAGGTTCATGACTGAAAAACAATTACAAGAGATTGGTCACATGGTTGATGCTATAGCGTGTGTCATTTCAAAGGCATGATCTAATTATAATAATCTCCAACATGCATTCTTTATTTTGCATTTGCCGACGATTTCAAAGCAGCAATCGATAATGAAAATTTGACTATTGACAGTAAACACATGACCTGGACATTATCAAATGCCAAACTCTGTGCCATTTGCTCGTCTCCGACCACAAAGCTAATGATTGTCCCCCAAAAAGAAAATCCAGTGGATTGCAATATGCAACATTTGTACCAAAGGTTTCAACCAGTGCAGTTCTCTAATTACAAAATATCACAGAAAAAATTGAAAGACGCAGTTTTCCCCAATGTTTCCTTCCTCAAGTTACACAAGGTTCTGATACCCTTAAACCTAATTCCCAAAATACTATTCCACCCAAATAGCATGACAATAATTCATCTTAAAACCACCATCAGCAATCGAAAAACAGTCATCATCCTTCTAGTCGGATGAAATCCCAACAAATATGTATGAAGAGCATCTGTTCAACAACACAATCTGCTTCACTCCCAATGGCAACACAATCAATGGTACAAAAGCAGGAGACTTGATGTATGCTAATAACGACAATGATTTCAAAACTTTCATCAAATCACAATTTACGAATTTAGAAGAGGATTTGAGTATCATCATGTCAAATTTGGCCTTCACCATTAAACGTATTGAGTCTATTGAACAGCAACTCAATGTTAAAATCATCACACTATGATATTGAACCAACAATTGACTTTTCTGCTTTCACCATTGCAAAACAACAAAAAGTAATTGATAGATTGCCCAGTCTAAATGAAATGCATCAATCCAGACTCAAGTCTTTTACAGAAACTGTTAATACATTAGCTCATTCTTGTAAAGCATTTTGATTAAAAATAATTTGCTTCCTCAAGAACACGTGAACAATATCTTTCCTCTTGGTGTGGCTTTTGATAATGACATCAAAAGTTACAACAGTGACCTCTCAAAATTTTAATTTGATCATGAATTCTGTCCTTACTGATGATAATACACAAGATGCATCAAAATTTCATACTTTACCCTAAATCATACCCCTCCTCTTTATCTTTCTTTTGCATCTCATAAGGTTCGCAGTTTCACTAATATTTTTCTTTAAATATTGATGCAATTGGCCTACAAGAAACCAACTTCATTCAACAACACATTCGACCCTTTAATAATGAACACACTTCTAACTTTGTGGTTTTTTTCAGTTCTGCTTCTTCTCCCAATAAAACGGGTTTTGGTGTAGGCATTTTACTAAGACCGTTCCTAGCCAACCATGTTTTTTACCATAATCAGTTGCTAAATAGAATTATTTATATTGACCTACAATTCACCAACAAACAAAAATTACGATATATTAACTGTTATTTACTCACATCTGATATTCCTGAAAGAAAGAAAATTCAGAAAGAAAATTCAAAAAGAAATAATGAAACTCATCAACGATGCTATCTCTAAGGACCTAGTAAAAGATTTTTTTTCTTATGCAGGCTAAAACAAACTCGCTTAAATTCAATATTAGCCGCGGAACTTTATATCAATTTGAAAAAAATATGAATAGCCATCAATTCTTTTTTGCCTTTAAATAGCTTAACTAAATATGACTTTGTGATGAGTGAGTCCAGAATATTTCTGCTTACATATCTGAAAATCAAGTTAGAATGTCATAATAACCGGATTGATTTGATTATATGGATCAACAAATGATCTTTTTTGATCATGGATATCTAGATCGAATTTCTATATCTTTTTTTAAACAATATTATCGAATAATGTTCGCTTTATTATTAAATACGAAGATTTTAAAACTTAAAATGTAAAAAAATGAAAATAATAATATTACAACAAAACAATATATATACTAAATAAGATGATATTATTTTTTTTTCTAGACCAAATAATTGCGCAATAATAATAATAATAATTATAATAATATATATAAAATTACAAATATAAAGTCCTTGAATCTAATTATAAAACTTGTTACCAACCATATCCTCCGGGATTATTCTGATGTTGAAAGGGAGATGTTTGTTGGTTTTGTATTTGTGTTCTCGCTAAATCATTGAGTGAAGTGGGCTTAGATGTGTTGGTACTATTTAACGTTTGTGTCTGAAAAGGATTCTTACTAGGAGGACTATTATAACTACTTGTTCCCGCATCACCAAGATCAATAAGACTATTACTAGTATTACTTGTATAAGATGTGTTTGAAAACGGTGTTATTGACTAAAATAAAGAACGAGATATTGTTAATAAAAATATTTCAAAAAGTAATAAATTCTTAAGCTTTTATTTAATTCTTACCTGATTCGATCTTTGATTGAATGTGTTATTGTTGTTACTACTAAAGAATATATCAAGATTTGAGATACTATCGGGTTGACTAAAACCTGAAGTTTGTGGAAGTGTGTTATATCCACTGCTACTAAAATTAGGACCTCCAGAATTAAGGAATGGATTGGCCTGAGTGACACCAATATCACCAGTTGAATTTGATCGTCTTGGTGATGGATTATCAACGGATAAAGAACTCTTTGGATTCAAGGTATTAACAAAACCAGAACCACTTTTTGCAAATAAAAATTAAATATTAATATATTAATATATTATTGTAAGATGTATGTATTAAGGAATTCACCAATTAATACTTACGCCGGGATACGACGATTTCCAACATTTCCAAAAGTGTCCATGCCATCTCTATTATGAATGAAAATAATAAATTATATATTAAATAATTAACAAAAACTTATGTGATAATCATACTTACCCTCCACTACCAATGAGTGAAGCCAATTTTGCGTGTTTCTCATCTTGTGGTTTTATTATATTCTATATTTTTAGGGAAAAAGTTAGGTTATGATAAAATTTTAACGAACCAATTCAACCCTTTAAAAAAGTGAAATCGTACTTGTGATTGAAGTAAGCTATCGAAATTGGGCTATATCCCAAATAAAAAGAATAAGTCAGCATCATTCATAACGATTAAATATCTTAAATGATTGATTTTAGCATACCTGCGTGCTGTGTGATGAGAACGATTCGAATGTTGATGTACTTGCTAAGTTAGGAGAACTGAAATTAGATGAGGGCATATTAAAAGATGGCAATTCATTTGTTCCATATAGACTAGTGGCTCCAAAACCAGTTGACTGTTGTTGCAATTGTTGTGATTGATGCGATTGTTGCGAAAAATTTCCAAACGGATTATTTGAACCAACAGGTGTTGGCATTTGCTGATAAGGATTGGAGATTTGAGATTGTTGCATCTGATATGGATTATTATTTAAAAATTGTTGATTATAATTAATCGAGTTTTGTGAGTTATCAATCGTATCGAAAGGATATTGGCTATTAGATGTGCTACTGTATTGATTTTGATTGAATTGATTATGCATTTGCTGGCTGAAAAAATCAGGCTGCGATTGTGGAAATGGACTATTTCCATATCTATCGAAAAGAAATTATATAACGTTAAATTTTTACCAACATGTTAAAAACAAAAAAAAAACAAAAAAAAACTCACCCTGATGTGTCTATTAAAGGTTTTTCATTTTGTTCAGCTAATCTAGCTAACCGTTGTTCCTCTTCCTCCTTACTTAATTTTAATGCCTTTTCCACTTCATCTTTTTCACTATTATTAAAATCAATTTAATACCGTAAACTTTTTTTTATATTTAATTCAATGACAGATCTCTTATACCTTTCTTTTACTCTTGCTTCATATTCTTGTGCTGATCTTTTACTTTCTTCAATTGCTTTTTGCATCTCTGACTCATCATCTAGATAACCAGGTTGCTCGACTGATCTTTCTAAACTTGGATCAACCACAGAACGATCAGTACGATCTCCCATACGTCGTCTCATGTCATCTCTGTTTCGTCTTTCTTGTTTTAGTCGATCTTCATCTTGGAGAAGATTAGTAATTTCTTTGGCCTTTTGTCTTACTATTATTTAATGATAACGCGAATTCTTTTAAATCTTTACGAAATAAAATATTTTAAAATGGAGTGCTATCACATACCATTTAAACCTTGATCTTTGCCATCCTCATCAATATACTGAAATTCTGTTAAAGTCTTTACTACATATAAATTTGTTTTTGCATACTTTACAACATTTTCTGACCCTCCATGTAGACAGTAATCCAATAATGTGAGTGCCTTACATAAAAAATTTATTGTAAATATATTGTGATAATCAATATATTTAATAAGATTCTATTAAATTCAAATTCATTAACTCACTTTAAAAACATGCCTCCAATTTTTACCATGATCATTTAATCTTTTATCAATCATTTCCATAATTTCTAAATATTCACTAAAAAATATATCAAAGGAGTTGGAATATATACATAATCACACATATTTTCTCGACTTTCTATCTCGCTTGTCTTTTAATTTACTATTTCTAATTTACTTTTTTTACTAATTGAAAGTTAGCCCGGATCTATTAAATAGAACATCATACTTACGAATTGTACGTTGCTCGAGCAATCTCATCCATTAAAGTACCACTCGGACCCCACGGGTCATTAGAAGTAGCATTTCGGACCTTTGCCTGAATATCTGAGTACCCTTTTGTATAATTTTTTCTGTAATATAAAACATTGCAAGTGTGAGAATATATTATCAATAAATCTTTAAGGTAAAAGCCAGGCTGTAAGTCTTTTAAATCTATTAAAAGTATACAAGATGCTGATCATAGAAACATTGTTTTACAAGAAAAAAAGGTGGTCTTGAAATTATTAGAACAATAACATATGGCTTACATTGTACGAGCGGTAGCTTTTACTACATATTTTGACATTTTCAAATTATGATATTGAACGAAAGATCTTTTTATGGGAATTATGGTTTTTATTTAAAAGTATATGATATGATGTTAGACTACCGTTACTAAAATTTTGAAAGATTTGAAAGATTTGAAACGAGTGACAGAGTTAATCTTAAGCAAATAAAAGGGATTCTAGGTTTTTTTTTTTTATATTTTAATACCGTTTTTTTTTATACTTTATTTATATAATACATACGTCAGTGTGTTCTTGGCTGTGTGACAGAAAATTTAATGATTCACGTTCGGGATTTAAATAAATGTTCGGCCTAACTTCTAATTTTATATTCTATTATTTAATACCATTTTTCTGACCAACTTTAACGGCATTGGCTATTACTAATGCCGAGTATAAATCTTCAATCAAATCATTAACATCCTATGTTAAAATAAAAAACATCAATTATATGATTTCTTTTATAAACTTCAAGATTTTCATGACCGAATCAAAAAAAAAAAAAAATTTGCTTACTTCAATACCAACACAAAGACGTATTAAATCTTCTGGAAATCCTCTTTCCTGTCGTACTGCGGCGGGAATACTAGCATGAGACATTCTGCAAGGCATACTTTTATGTTGAATTTAATCGGAGAAATTAACATATATATCGTTAAGAAAGCAGAATAACTCCTTTTTGACCTTTTTTTCTCACCTTATCAAAGAATTGACACAACCAAAACTGACACTAATCGCCCATATTTTCGTTGACTCAACAATTCGTTCACTAACTTCTACATCTCCTGTCACAAAACTTAGCACAGCACCGGGACCACGAGACATAGTATAATGTAAACCATATTGTGGGTGAGATCTTAATCCTGGATACATGACCTTAAAACCGTGATACTCAAGGAATTCAGCTATTTGCATGGCATTGGCTTGTTGCTTTTCCATACGAACTCCAAGTGTTTTTATACCACGAAGCAGAAGCCAAGAATCAAATGGAGCGAGACCACATCCAGTTGCGTTAATAGTGAAATAGATTTTCTAGACATAAATAGGAAAATTCATTTTAGCAATTTCAAATATCTAATACTAAATTTGAAACTTCTGACGTTGAAATGAGCAAAAACGAAATTTTTTTGTTTATAATCTTTCTAAAAGTTCAGATTATCTTTATAAATTTACCTCTGCAACAACTTCATCTTTAGCTCCAATGACACCAGCCATCAAATCGTGATGTCCACTGAGATATTTTGTCCCAGAGTGTATCACAATATCAGCTCCAAACTCCAAAGGTCTTTGGAGATAAGGAGACATCATTGTATTGTCAACTACTACTAATGCATTAGGACATCTTTCATGTACGATAGATGCAACGTTAGGAATATCCGATATTTTAAGTAATGGATTCGTTGGTGATTCCAATAAAATGAGTCTAGTTTTGGTTGGATGCAAATAAGGCATAAGTGCATCCGCAGAAGTTGTGTCTACATGATATGTTTTAATATCACAACTTTTACCAAGAAATGATAAAAGTCGATTGGTACCTTGAAGAAAAAAAGAAGTAATTTAATTAAAAAATATTTTAAAGAATATTTAACTAAATATATATTACTATAAAATCTTACCTCCGTATAAATCATCCCCTGCAATGATTTCCTCGCCTGCTTTAACCAGACGAGTGATCACATCTAATGCACTCATTCCACTACTAACCACAAAAGCTCGATTGGCAGACATAATTTTTGCAAGATGATTTTCTATCAAAGTATAATAATAAAAGCATTTGATTCGAGTAATTTATTCAGAAATGGAGATTTTATTTCCGAAAATTTTGCTCCAGCTACAGCATAGTGCATGGAAAATGGCTATTACACTAGGACTTGTTGTAAATATCAAGTAAACCTTTAATGTAATTGCCGAAGACTCACCTAAATGTGAACGAGTTGGGTTTCCACTTCGACTATAATCAAACTCTCCCATTTGGGTTACTGAAGATTGTTTGAACGTTGCTGACTGGTAAATTGGTACGGAAGCAGCATTATAAGGATCTTTTACTCCAGAACCATCTGAATTGTCTATGAAAACTAACTCCGTTGCAAGATTATATTTAAGACGAGTTGAAGTCTGAGAGGTTGGAGTAGATGGACCAGAACTCATTTTCTTTTGTATTTGCAAGAAACTGTAAATAGTTGAGATTTCAAAAATTCTAAAAATTCTACGTCCTTTAGATCTCAAAAACAAATACCCAATCAGTTAAATGTTAAATTGCGTGATGATTGATGCAGATCAAAGTGTAACCTAGACGGTAACACAATTAAAAGGGAGAACTTCACATTCCATTTTTCATTAAGAAATTTTCACCATGTCCAAACACACCGAAGAACAGTGTGTTATTTTTTTATCCATTTTCTTTTCCATAATATTTATGACTCGTAGTGAATTTTTATAAATTTGACTTTTAGAATACAGGAGCCCATTAATGAACGGGTTCAAGAAGTGCTTGATAAAGTTACAAAAACAAGACATAATAAATCCGATGAGATAGATGACGACGAGTTATTTGAACAATTAGAGAGCGATGATCTTGCATTGGCGAATTTTCGTGAACAAAGAATGGAACAATTAAAGCAAGAGTATGTATATATCCATTGAAAAATTTTGATAAAATATTAATCAAACTAATTACAATTATGTCATAAATACAGAATGACAAAGTTACAAGAAATGCGTCAAAATGATCATGGATCATATGTAGAAATTGCGAATGAAAAGGAAATGCTTAACATATCAACAAATACTAATTTGTGTGTAGTCCATTTTTTTCATAAGGAATTTCGAAGATGTCAAATAATGGATAAACATCTTTCGGTATTTATTGTTTAAATTGTATTTTACAATTTGAATGATGTACTAATTTATTTTTTTATATAATTAGGTAATCGCGCATCGACACTTCAAAACAAAATTTGTTAAAATTAATGTAGAAAATGCTCCTTTCTTGGTGGAAAAACTTAAAATTCAAGTATTACCTTGCATTATCGCATTCGTAGATGGAATTTCTGTTGATCGGTAAATGATACCCTAATAAATTATTTCTATTCATTATTATTCATGATATATTGAATGATTTTGAATATCATATTTAGGATCGTTGGATTCGATGACCTTGGCAACAACGATAATTTTACCACTGCAATTCTGGAATTTCGCTTATCTCAAAGTAGTAAGTGCAAAATATATTCCTGGTAGATTTTGTATCATTTTTAAAATGAATTTTAATATAGGTGTGATTACGAAATTGGAACCTCCGAAGAAGGAAGAGCCTAAGTCTATATTCGGATTTGGTGGAGGAAACGATGATGATGATGATGATGATTGGGATTAAGAAGATTATTTAATTAAACTAAAAAAGTTTTAGTTTACCGTAATTATTATTTAATTTTAGAGTAATTTAATTTTGATAAATTATGCTTATTATTTTGATACCTTATTCATAAATGAAATAAATTATACTTCTTAATCCAGTTCAGGAATATTCATTCGTTCATGTTAGTTAAATTTTTGATATATACGTTATTAAAATATCGATAAGCAAATAATGTTTATTTTGTTATTTACGATTTATTTTTAAACTTTTTTCCTATAATAACTTATTGTAAACAAAAAACTAAAAATTGGATTTCCTTATATATTGATTTAATTTCTAAAATTATTGTAAGTAATTATAACATAGCAATACAAAAATAAATAATTTAATACTATCTGGTCTTAATTATAAAAAAAAATTTTTTTATTTACTTTTATAAAATTAGTAATTTTTATTCTTTATAAATTTTAAGAAATTTCTAAACTTTTATTAATAATAAAGTGATTCAATTAGTAAGTAAATAATTTTTAAATTTATTATGATCCATTTTTAAGAGTTTAATTATAAAAATCAAAATTATTTAATCTTCTTAATAAACTTATTTACTTAAAAAAAAATTTTTATATAAAATCTTTATTAAAAATTTAAATTAATATTTTAATATTAATATTTTCATATTACAGCTAATTTTATAATTAATTTTATTTATTTATATGCAAAAGAAAGGAAAATTTGTCAGAAAAATCAATTTTATTTGGTTAAAATCAAAAAAAAAAACTATTTGCTAATCATTAGAGTTTAAATCAACATTATATTTATAACTAATTTGAATTGAAAAATCAATTTATATAAAATCATCTAATTGGAAACAATTAAAACATTTTTAAAATAATAATATAAATAAGGTTGCTTGTCTAAACTCATTTTGGATTTGGTTAAACGTCTAAACCTTTAGTTTCGCTAAATTTTTACTAAGTGTTTGATATAGTTTTGCCATTTTTATAAGTTTTGATATAGTTTTACCTTTTTCTGAATTTCGCAAATTTTTTAATAAGGTTTTAATATAATTTAACCAAGATTTACCTTTATCATTAGACGTTTGTCTAAATTCTAGATTTTTTAGCAACCTTAAATATAAATCATTTCAAAAAGAGATAATACAAATTTTCTTAAAAGAATAAAACAAATTATTTTAAAAAAATAACTAAATTATTATTATGAAGGAATAATTTTTTATTATTCTAAAAAAATAATCAAATTATAATTCTAAAAGAATGATCTTTTATTATTCTAAAGAAATAATATATCATTATTTGAAAGAATGAAATTTTTATTATTCTAAAATAATGTATATATTATCATTTTAAAAGAACAATTTTTTATCTTTCTAAAGAAAATTATATTATTATTTTTAAAAAATAATTGAAATTATCATTCTTTTAGAATAATTAATTATCATTTTAAAAAGAATAATTTTTTATTATTTTAGAAAAATAATACATTATTATCTAATTAAAATAATTGAATTATTTTAAAAAAAAAATGATTATTTAATAAAATAATATTGTTTTTTTTTAAATAATAAAAAGAATTATTTCAATTAATAATATAATTGAATTATTCCTAATAAATAATATAAAATTTCAGATTAATCTAAAAATTATAATTTAGTTTACAATATAGGAGGTTTGCTAGGAAAATGAGGCTCTGAGAAATTTTTATTAAAATTTTAATTTTTATTGCATTTTAATCTAACATTATCAAAAATTAAAATGCAATA